CCACACAAAACCAACACAAACATACAAACAGATCTGAAGCAAACAAAACCAAAATACGAACAGAACAAAAAACAAACAAAAACAAACAGAACAAAAAACAAACAAAACAAACAGAACTGAAGCAAACAAAACAAACAAAAATAAACGAATACCTGGGATGCTCTCTTCCCCTAGAGTACAGACGTCATCAAAGATCTGTTGTTTGATCCCTGACAAGGCTTGCATGCGGGTCACTGTGAAGACCAGCTGACTGCTGGACGCTATACTCTCTAGCTCTGCCTGGACCACCTCGTCACCCACACCCACACTAATGACCTTCACCCCTGACGACTTCAGCTGTGACGCCTGGGCTCGTGTGCTCGAGGCTGGGGTAGATGGAACACAATATTATGGTTTGTTTTTGTTTTGGTAAGTGCTTTACTCAAGCAATTACATACAACATTACAAATACTAGGGGACCATTATAAGTATCATCAGACTGGCGATGTCAAACCGAGAGAAATGAAAAGCCGCATTTGCCAAGCAAAAGCAGCCGTCCACAAAATCAAACTGATACATGTAAACATGAATCTGTCTCTTGAAACAAGAAAAAGAGTACTGAAAAGTTACATCGAGGCGATCCTATTATACGGGTGCGAATCATGGACAATCAATAGACAGCTGGAAAGAACAATTGAGGCGACAGAGTTGTGGTTCATAAGACACATGCTGCGTATCCCATGGACAGCTAGAAAAACAAATGAAGAAGTCTTGGTTGAAGCAAATTGCAGAAGGCATCTTATGACATAGGACGCATATATGAAAGCGACAGCAAAGTTGATTGGACACACAATGCGGAAAGAAGCATTGGAGAATATTGTAAAAACAGGCAAGTTTGATGGAAAGAGAGGCAGAGGCAGACAGAGGCAAAAGTTACTGGATAAGTTAACAACATACCTGGGAACAGCAAGAACGACAGACACTTATACAATGAAATAGTTGTAGGAGAGGCTGAAGAAGTTAAAAATGCCTATAACTTAAAATCCATAGTTTTGAGCCGAACGGGGACAATCGTGGTGTAGCCCCCGCCAACCCTCCAAACCCCTTAAGACTTACGAAAAGTGGACTTCCCGTCCGTCACAAGTATTGCCACATGAGGAACGTCAGGTCGTGAACCACAGGCGTCTGTGAAGGTGTCCACACGAGTCGACTCCAAAGCCATGTGGGTGAACGTCAGTCCTCTCTTGAAGGGCGTTTCTTTGATCGCCTGAAAAGAACCCACAAGAGAGCTAAGAAAGTCTTATATCCGGATCGCCGAGATTTTTTGCCCTTGTCCGAGAAAGCTAAGTATAGATCTTCCCTACCATAAGATCAGGGGTGTGACCAAAAGACAGCAGTATGAATGAGCCTGGCAGTAATATTAGTATGGTTTTACGGCGCTTGCAACTGCATAAGGTCAAATGAGCGCCAAGGGGTGCATGTCAACAGAGAGGTCCAAACGGGGAATCACGCGTACTCTGCTCACCTCTCTAGCCTCAACAGCACAAAGTTTAAAGTCTTCAAAGAAAAGACTACATAAACGCCATTGATGATAAACTTAAAATGGATGGTCTTATCTCTAGAATAACGGTGATTTTTGTAAACAATATAATGGCGTTTAGATTTTGATGAGAAAAATTAATATAAGTTAATATCGTAGCCAGATTATATCGTGGCAGTCCGCCAAAGAGTTAAAATGAATAGAGTCTTTAAAGTTGTTGTTGCTGGGGTTTTTTAGAAAG